TTTTACGTTATAAGTACATAACTAATACGACCAACATGCGTCGTTTACCCAGTACTGTACTGTACAACCTCTGTTACGCCATCTGTTGATTGGTAGAGTGCAGAACAATATTTGTGTGATTCTCCTTCATCTGATCATCCCATACTCATCACGGAATTTTTAAGGTAAAGTACAGGCAGTAATCGTGTAATGGTGTAATGATTCTATTGATATATATATATATGTAACATTCATACGCGTGCATTACGTTTGCATATGCGTTTGTACAATCTATTATACATCAAGTCATCCTAGAGTACTACCTTGTTTGCTTTTTCCGTGTGTGTATTAACTCTGAGGTGAATATTTCATAACATGATGACATATAATACGGCCAGCCTCGTTGTAAGAATTCATGTATGTACTGAAATTGTACGTAACATGTATGAATGCATAAATCGTATTAAATGTATGCATGAATAGTTTACTTGCTCATTGATTGGCCATTTCTACTAATGTATACTTGTTTAAGAATTGTAATTAACACATTATTTATTATACTTAAAATTGAGTGTGAAATCTCTAATAGAATCAATTGCGAAATTTCTAAACTAGCTGACATACTTAAACTTGCATTTAGCGTTATTTTATTGCTTATGCAAGCTTTCATCATCACTGATACAAAAAACTTAATTTCACTTGTCAGAAAAATGCAATTGGTATTGTTGTATTGTTATTCCCTTATATTTGAACTCAATAACAAGTAACATCATCGTGCAAGTCTATGGTTTTGTTGTCAACGCAGTCTGCAAAAACATCACTTATCAGTTGATCTAATTCAACCAAAGGCCACTTTTACTCGCTCTGACGCTGTAAAAACTCACCATTAAAAGGAAAAATTGCTCTTTTCAGGTCCTCCACTGGTCCTCTAAAATTTTAGTCTACTCTTGACTCTCACGACTCGCGAGTACCTTATACGAGTAAGGCAGGACGTGTTGACTGAGGAAACTTGGGTGTATTTCAAGAAAATAAATAGTATTGGACTACGCTAAGGAGCAAGGTACAACGAAGGGGGCCCACCGAAAGTGGTTCCAGTGATATTAGAGATAAGAGAAACCGGAATATCTTACCAGCAACGAACTTATTCGTGTAGTTTTAGGAACCACTGAAAATTACTGCACATAGTATTAGAGAACTCTGAAGCAGCAGTAACAGCAATCAGTGATGGATGTAAATTACTTATCAGTAATATAATTTACACCAAAACCTTGTACAAGTTATCTGAATAGATTTTATTTTTAAAAAATAACTTTTTTTAATTTTTTTAATAANAAATTTGACCTTTACTTCAGTTTACAATAATTATTTATTAATATTATCCGTATTTTTTAAATAAATATTATTACTTAACTAAAAAGATGACACTAAAACAAAATGGTCAAGACCATATTTTAAACACGTTTGATCCTTACATTTACACTAAAAAGAAAAAGTCTTAAATTTTCATTGATATAATAGAAAAAAAGCAAGATCATTTTAGAAGAAGTACTGTAGTCGCAAGTATAGAGAGTGATTATGTTTTAATAAAAAACTTTTTTGATGTGTTTAGTTTGGTTTGTTGTTAAATCAGGGAATTGTCTACTTGAGCAAGTTCATAAGATATTTTAACGTTCCATTGTTGTGTCATTGTCTCATTGACGCTGGCAAATATTGTGATACAGTGAGGAAATGCACAACCTTTAAAGTTTCTTAGTACTTTAAATGCATACAGCCCACAGATTTCAGATTTTAAGGGCCAAAAACGTTTCCCATAGCTTAAGTTAAAATTAAGTCCCTCAACAAGAAGTGATCCTGATACCCTTGGCTTTCAGTAAAATATCAGAGAAAAGTAGGACATTTTGCAAATTTTTTACGTTATAAGTACATAACAAATTAAAGTAAGAATTGTAAGTGCTTTAACGTTCTTGATTATCAACATAAATGTAATAATTAATTGAAAGAAAAAATAGTAACAGATTAGTTACTAAGTTCTGTAAGAGATAAACGTAATTATTTACGTTGATTCAGTTTCTTATTGAAGTTTGAAGCAAAAAAAGTATTTAATAGGAGGGGAGATTGAAAAAGAAAAAGTATTATCATCGGTTAGGACGATAAATCATATAAAAACGAAATAGAAAAATTACTTTTTGTTCATGTTGACACAACAATATCTGGCTGTGACGATGTTTGGAAACAATTAGAATCACAGCAGATTAGCTTGGTCATTACTTTCTTTTATAAGCTATCAATTATAATAATTTTCGGGTAGTGTTTGACGTTCATGCCAATCTTATGTCTGAGAATCTAAGTTTAAGCTTAAGATGCAAAAAGAAAATCATATAACCTGATAAGAAAAACAGTTTTGGTAAGCATTCTCCAGTTCAGTTTAGTTTATTTTTTATCTTCTAACTGAATTCTATCGTACCATTTTTCATAGAGTTACAAACTAAGGGGTCTGTATTTAGTGGTCTTACAGACAAAATTCTTGCTTATTCAACTAACATGTACTACGTAAATTTAACTATAGCATGTTTAATTTTCAAAATGATTTAGCTATTCAGAAAATTTTTGTGCTTCTTTTTACATTGTTAATAAATACATTTTAAAGTATCATAGTCTTATTTGCTGACCACATAAAAAGAACTTACGCTTTAATGGCAATGCTTTCCAATGTAAATGTTATATTTATCAATACATACTACGTCAATGTCTAAATGAGTATATATTATAGGCAATCGAAGTACTGTAGCTTTATTATATAATTGGAGAATATGTAATCAAAATATTTCCTTTAGTTTTTGAAATTTGTAAAGTGATTCTCATGCCCTTGTCATGTACACATTAAAAAAAGTTAAGTAGAGGAACAACCAAGTCCTGTTGTGATAGTTAAATGTATGCTTTAACTGTACTACTTTATGAAACTAGTTTAGGTTACTCTGCTCAACATTGTTTGTATCGTGTGAATGACATGTGCATGTTAATAAATCACTTTGAAAAATCATATTTCGTAAAAAAAGTGAAATATTTTTATTATTGTGTATCCAGTAATGTTATGCTTACATTGCAACTACACACCATTGCTAGTTGTCTTGTGCATACAATGAATACACATTTGATACTTTCCTGTTAGTAGCTACTTTGATGTATATCTTCATTACGTTTAATAATATGTAATAATGGCTCCTACTAAACTATCTAAATATGAATACAACATCCTAACTAGCTTTTACTTAACATTATTTACCTTTATATTTAGACAAAGAACTATACATTTAGATTAAACCATAGTACGTACCAGCAGTTGGCATGGGTCTGCCTCTTCTGGTAAACTCGACACCAGCAAGTACACGCACTTTCATTTGTGCCACGTCACTTAGCCGACCATAACCACCATGGCACTCATCTGTTACAATTAATGGGTGATAGAGATTTGAGCTGTGAGGGTTGTTTCCACCGTAGACTTGGAAAATATAGGTGAGGCCACGACGTAGGTAAAGTTCTGGAGCAATCAAACCATTTATATACCATGCAAGGCCAGTCGTTGCTTGTCCAGTGATTCCTTGATAGCCTCGCTTTCCTCCTGATGGTCCAATTGTTGCCCGGAAAATTCTAATGCTTCTGTCAAATATCTCTTCTTTCTGCCATGGTTTTCTGTGACAAAATTTTAACACGTTAGTTTTGTGACAAATACAAGTATGCAGCCTTAACTTTGTAAGGTTTACAGAGATATCCAAGTAGTAGAACTATTATTGTGTAAGAACCTGCAGCAAGTTTACTTGCCTTAAAGTATAACTAGAAGGTTTTAGTGCTCAAATGTTAATAAACAAGACGTATACTCTTCAAATTTTGAGACTACGCTAAGCTTACTTCTACCTTTTTATACCTTTCATCAGTCAAAGGGTCAAAATAATAAAGCTCAAAACTTGATTGTTTCACACTCATTATGATGGTTTAAATAGTAAGATTGACGAATCACAATCATAAACAATAGTGGAAATGGGAACAAAATTCGAAATTATTGCAGGAAAAAGAAATGTGTGCAAAAAAAACACTGTATAACAGACAACGCGGGGGCAGCAGAAAACGTTTGCCACGCAATACCTAATTGTTACACAGCGTATACTTGTTTTTAAAATTGTTTGTGAAATCTGTAAAATAAAACATTTTAATTTAAAACTTTGCATTGACCTTCCTGGGACGAAACGAAGCAACTTTTCCTCGGGAAGTTTTCTGACAGTTCATAATAAATTACCTTAACAAAAATACTCAGCCATTTGTTTTAAAAAATGACATAAATAAATGTATACATACATGTGTATATACACAGTGGTGTATTTTAATCTATGCATCCAAATGTTTGCCTAGAAAAGACACCTATTAAAAAATGACCTCAACAATAGTTGGGAGGTACAAAGGAGGTCATCTAAAAGTGACTATAAATTTGACCTTTACTTCAGTTTTCAAGGTCATTATAAGGTTTAGTCTTGTTCCTCAGATGTGAATCCATATTCTTAATTTCAAACTCTGAAAAACCATAAAGTTTTATGTTGAAAATGCTGAAAACAAGGTTTTTTTATTGACCTTAAGAGGTTAATTGAAGGATAAGCCATTGTAATCCATGTATCTTAATATTTTGCCAGAAGTGCCACTTATTTAAAAATGTCCTCATAACAAGTTACTAGATGCAAAGAGAGACATACAGTAGTGTGCTTAAATTTGACCTTGAACTCGGTTTTTAAGTTTATTTTGAGGTTAAAATACATAGAAAATACAATAAGACTAATAGAAACAGTAAAAATAAGACTTTTGAGAAAAGACCTAACTTTACAGTTTTAACACCTTTGGAGGCATGAAACAGGAGCTTGCGTCCGTTTTTCATAAATTTTTAAGGTTATTCTGAGGTTAAAATCCCTAAAAGATAACACAAAATGTTGTTAAAAATTATATCATAGGAAGCAAATCAGGATAAGTTATTTCAATTTCTTATTTATATTTATACTTCTTGAACCACAATGTGTTTTTAATAGTTGTTAGTCATCATATCAAAAATAAAATACATGCAATGGGCCCAAACATCTCTTTTGGTACGACATAATTATAAAATCATGCTAATGAAAGTTGTTAATGTTGATGGAAATCATTAGATTGCGAGAATAATTCTAACCCTCGTAATACTTACAAGATCTTCCAAACATAAAAGTAGTATTTCTTGGTAGAAAAATGTATTTTCGGGCCCTACACTTATTTTAAGCTCTCCTTAGAAACAACGACGTGGACGTAGTAAGGACTGTGTACTTTAGGGTGCTTTTTTACCGTGATTTTTTTTGCCTTTCCAATTGTGGATGCTTTTTTATTGTGATTTTTCTTGCTTCGGTAAAGTATGACGAACGGTGTTCAACAAAGTTCATCTTGGATTTGCAGTGCATGCTTCAGGAATGTGGTCTTGCATATTTTCTCTACAAATGGGCCAATGTTAGTAAGCCTCATTTTTTGAATATCCCCATAAATATGAGTCTAAAGATGTTAAGACAGGTTACTTTGTTGGCCAGTCAACTAGATCTTCTCTGCAACTCTATCTGCCATTATAATTTTGATTCAAAAACGTACGTACAGTATAGGCGAAATGTAGTGGAGCGCCACTTTGCTGAAACCACATTCTTCGTCTTGTTTTGAAATGGATATGCTCAAACAAATCGGGCAAATGATTCTTAATTAATTTCAAATATGTAGTACTATTAACATTTTGCTCAAAAAAGTGAGGTCTGATAAGATATCCGTTTACAATTCTGCATCATACTCCATCGGTGCTGATGGTCTGCACGTTTGTGACACTGGGGGCTCTTATTCGACCATTCATGGCAACTGGGCCTACTATCTTGGCCATCACTACCAAATTTAGCCTCATCAGAAAAAAGCACAAAATAAAAAAAATGTTAATCTTTTTCTATATTTCGCAAAGCCCATCGGCAAAATTGAATACATAGTTATATATAATTTTGTCTCAGTACTTAAACAAGTGTAATGTGATAAGCATGATGATTAAGTCTTCTCAGAATTCTCAAAAATATTCTTCTCGGTAAACCTATCTTCCTTTCAACTTGACGACTACTTATGTGAGGATCAAGATAAACGGATGCAAGAATAGTAAGAATACAAGTATCGTCTTCATTATATTTGTGACGCCTACGTAGGCGAAAAAAGTGTCATTGACGAGCTCTAATGGTTAAACTGCCAATTGTCACATCGCTAGATTGCCTTCTATCTGAAAAAATTTGAGCGTAACGCCTTGCCACTATACGATAATTGTTATCACATTGTCATAACATCATTATTATGTCAACGATTTCCTTAGTAGGATGATCAGCTATTACTAAAACTCCCCTTAAACGAAAGGACTGTTTAACTTTAATTTTGTTTTGTTTAATTTGCTACACTGTAAAACACTTATAAATTATTGTAAAACACAGTCTTACGCGTATGCAGATAAAGTATCAAAAGCTTTTCGTACATAATATTAATAAAAGAAACAACTTTTAAGCAACTGCATAGCACAAAGATCATAGATTTCTTACACTAATGAGCTTTTGCACTACCTTCACAATGAAAATTCATTTCCCTTACATTAATAACGAAGAAAAAAAAATTACTGCAAAACTGAGTGGTAATCTCAACGTTTTATGTGCAGACTTACTCTGATGAGTGAAATCGATTATACAAAGTTAAAACAATCACATACACTAGATAAATGCGCAACTTACAGTAGGGAAAAAACAAAGCAGACAAATGTAATATTTACAACATTTAGGGAGAGTGCGCAATTTTTTACTATAAAACTTCTTGAACGGCTAACTATCCAATGTATGGAATCATAAAAATAATAATGGTGCCAAGAAGATGCGATAATACTTTAAAAATATGGTTTACCAACAGCAGTCTGGATGAACTACTAGGTAACGCCTAAAGTGAGGTAAGGCCCGAAGAAAAATACTACTTTGATGTTTGGAAGACCATGAAAGTATTACCAAAGTCTGAATCATTGTGGCAATCTAACGATTTCCATCATCATAAACATTTTTAATGCATACAATTTAGTGATTATGTTGTATTAACAGAGATATTAAGGCTCATCACATGTATTTCAACATTGATATGGCAAGTAACAGTCGTTAAACTCACAATGTGGTTAAAGAAATAAAAATACTAACAAGGAATTTTGAAAAATTGTTCTAAATTTGTTTTGTATAAGATAATTTTTAACAATATTGTGTTATTTTTCAAGGATTTTGTCTTTAGAATGACCTTTAAAAATAACAAAAAACGGAGGCAAGATTATTTAACGTCTCCAAAAGATGCTACAATTTTTAAGCTAGGCTTTTCTTTTAAAATCTTATTTGTATTGTTTTTGGTAGTTTCATTTTTTTTATCTGTTCTAACGTCAGAATAAACTTAAAAACTAAGGTCAAGGTCGAATTAAAGGTCACTATTAGATATCCTCCTTTGTGCTTATTGATATTTTGTTAAGGTCATTTCTTAGTAGGTGGCCCCTCTGGCGACATATTTAGATACATACATCAAAATGGCCCACCATGTATATAGAGACACGTGCGTAGTAAAGTACTGAATTACTGATGAAGTGCCGAACCCGTTTTTTCAATTTGTCTATTATGGCATATTCGAGAACCTTCTTCAGGATGTAACTTTAAAATAAAATAGTGAAAATAAATAGGCCAGGGTAAAAAGTGTTTGTCATTGTCAGAAAAGTAGAAAAATATTTTGGAGTAAAAGCTTATTTATAATATGGATAATTTTTAAATGCATTTAATAAACACTATTTAGCAATCATTAGTTTACTGATCAGAAAATTATTGTGACAGTTTGATAATGCCATTTTGTAAACAAGGCTAGTTTTAAGACAATCTATTATTTTTCAAGAGCTTAAATATGAGTAATAACTTCTGGAACTAAAGTAAGGTCAAAAAATTAGGAAGCCTAATAGTATATAAAGGTTTGTTAGGCTGGACTTTAAACACCTAGCCATCACAATTTCCTAACTGCATTTACGCCTAAATATCAATGAGCAAAAACCCACTTAATGAAAATAATTCTTCACTAGAAAGTTTCAAGTATTCATCGACAGAAAAGGCTTTGAAATCAGTAATAAGAGAAATCTCTTAAAGAAAGTAAGTGTTAACTAGCTAACAGTATCTTAATAAAGTTTGCACGCTGTACGATTAACATAACACTAGGACCTCTTGCACAGTAATTTTTAGATTTATATTTTTATGAAGTTAATTTATTTAAGGTATAACTAATAGCCTTTTTGCCCCATCACGTTACTCAACACACAAACTCTAAGAATATGGTAAAACTGTGATTGTTGTTATGATTTTTTCTAAGTTGAACATAATCTCTCTTCATCCCTCTACAACCTTCGCACCCTTTTTTTAGCTTATTAAAGCAACTTTATTAATATTATGCAACCAAACCACCTTTATTAAGCAAAAAAAGTTTTGCTGCTTTTTCACTTACTTTTAATATCTTAGACCCTTACCGCAGCCTCTTACAGCACCCCATTTTATATGTATCACCTCACAGCCATCCCGCAGCTCCTGTACCTTATTCTCAGTCTTTTTATGCCATTATACAACCTC